ACAATCCTGACTTTCCTTGATAGAAAAATACAACCACTACATGAAAACACCATAATGGCATATTGAAAAGGGCGGCATTAGCAAGGTTTGGAGTTATCCATTTTATAATATGAAAGCTGTTGAATAGCTAATAAGAAAATGTTAATGAAATATGCGAAGTAAATCAAAAGGAAGAAAGGTTAGCAAACAAAAATGTCCTCTGTTAAAGTTGAAGCACCCAACTCAAAACCACATTGGCAATGAGTGGAATTGTTCAGAATTATACATGCTGGGTGACCATTGAATTTTTTATAAGGAAAACTAATGAAAAGGACTTGAAAACTTTGAGTTTTAACGATAAGGACAAAATAAAGGGTAAAGTGAATAGTATCAGGATTGACTTTTTGGTGTAAAAATGTGGTTTTTCGTTAAAGTGAACAATACCGGGAGCTTTTCATCCCTTTTTTATATTCACGTGGCTGGACTGAGCCAAGGCCATGGATCAATTATATTGTGCGACGTCAAGAACGTGTAATCAAATTAGCTTAGACAATTTGCCCAAAAAAAATAGTTTAGACATAGGAATGAGTTACCTACAAAAAGGAAACCATGTTGAAGCAAACAACAGGCTTACAACTATACAGCATATGACTAATTAAAATTGGGAAAAGCTAAAAGTAGAACCTGGAAAACTGGCACACCAGGAAAGCCATCATCATCAGAAGTTCCAACCTTTTCTCTCTCCTACATAAAGGAAACGCAAAACAAATATTGTTAATATAAGACTTGAATATGGAGAGACGGGGGAAGAGAGAAATCATTTTCTAGCAGAAGAGTACCAAGCATAAGAAAAGACATGAGCTAACGGAACACTTGGCGCAAAACCGAGTGCAATGGCGTTCTAGGATTCATACAGCCAACCCCACTTAGTGGGATAAGGCTTGGTTGTTGTTGTTGTAAGAGTACGATGCATGTATTCAGCTTATATCTTTTGTGAAACCAAATTGGGAGCCCAATATCTTTTGGCAGATTTCTCAAGACCAATGCTAATTACACCTTACCAACAAAGTGAGGTCCATTAAAATGTGTATGTTCATTACTTGACCTATGGGAACTTACAAAGTATTTAGTTTCTAAATCTGCAGTTTGAAAAGAATCCCTAGGTTTTGGTTGTACCTTACATATTCAGTAAGTTTTTAAACTAAAACCGTTAAGGCATCCTGGCCTATTCTGTATTCGAATCAAATGTGAATTACAAACCTAGTACGCAGCACATAGATATAGATAAAGCATGGGGTGACAGACTTACAGTTATTTTCTGGTTGTTTCGAGATGAATGTGTTATAGTTATGTTCGAATAATCAAAACTTCGCGTTAAATTGACAAAATTCAACTCCGGAAAATAACGTGTGTATTTCATTACTATTCTTATGCGAGCAACTTACGCACCTTAAGCGCATTCTTGACTTGGGAATACTCAGGAATCAACCTGAAGGCTACCCCATCGACCTTGAGCTGAAAAACCTGCAAAACCAACACCCATTAATCTCCACCATTCCCTAATTTATCCCATTTCAAGGTAAAAGAAAGCATAAATAAACAAAAACATGAATAAAATTTCATCAAGTTATTCACATTCCCACCTTATTTAAAGCCACAGCCACCACTTTCGACCCGCTTCGCATTCCGGGGTCCATAATCCTAATATGCTCAAGAAGTGCATCCGCATCCTCTTTCTTGAAACAAAACAATCCCAGAGACTTCCCAGTGGAAGCACCAGAAACCAACACGAATTCCTCCGAGGCATTACTGAGAGCATAAACCGGCACGCCGGCAAGCCGCTCTTCGATGTCCTCGGTGGACATGGCGGCTTTAGACCCGCCACTAGGGGAATTGGCGATCTGGGTTTTGTTACTCACCGCAATTCGACCCCAAACTGGGTTCTTGCCAGAAGAATGCACCGGATTGAAGCTCGAAAACCTGGAATCGAATGCATGTTTTGCTTGATTCTGGAGGTTGGAGAAGGTGGATTGGAGGTGGGTTTGGAGGGAAGAAGGGTTAGGGTTGAAGAGGGGAAGGTGGGAGAGGTGGTGGAGGAAGCCGGAGCAATGGTTTTGGAGGTTGATGAAGGCCTGTTGGAGGCTGAGTTGGGGCGGATTGTGTGTCGGTGGTGAGGAAATTTCGGGTTATTGGAGTTTCCCAAGTTCATTTTCTCGAGAAATCGATTCACAGAAGAGAAGAAAATCGATGAGAGTTTGAAGAGCGAGTGAGAAGTGAGAGGGAAGAGACGAGGGTTTATCCAACAAGGGGTTTTGGAATCTACCTTTTACTTTTTTTTGTTCAGTTTGTTTTTCTTTTACAAATTATATTTTTTCAGGAAAATTTTTATTAATATATTACTACGACAGAGTTGGGATATTAGTTATAGCACATGTATGATCGTATAAATCATTAATAAATTATTTGTTAATGAAAATAAGGTCAAATACAACAAATTTGAATTGAACATAGCAAGATTATAGACAATAAACTCAGTTTGTACAACTAATTCAACCAACTCCAATGAACGAAAAATATTAATTTTTTTTATTTGTAGAATTCTTTCATGGATATATGTATTTATACCAATTTTTGTTTGGAAGTGTGAATTTGGCAACCAATTCCATTACATTAAATGAGGATTTAGAAAATTCGTTAATCGTGTTCGTTCATTGTAAATCGTGCTGCTGTTTTATTCATATACTATTTGTGTTCAATTTTAAATATAAAATTTAAAATGATTTCTGACCGAACGATATACGATAAATTGACATAATTAGAGGATTTCTGGGATCCTCGTTCCATTACATTCATTTGGGCTCATTCCATTACTTTCATTTGGACCCAATTAGCTAACTTTACCAATGGAATAGGATCCTCTGTGGATCATTTTTATAGGGATCCGAATGATCAATTAATTGTGTCCGTTCATAGTACAGTTAGAAATTATTTTAAATTTTAAATTTAAAATTTAATATAAATAGTATCTAATGAAAATTGACCACATGATGTAAAATGAATGAACACAATTGATTGATCCTCGGATACTACAAAGAGGATCCTTGTCCTTTACCAGTTGCTCTGCTTCCAATTCTGCTTGGAAGCCTCTGATTTCTTCTCTTCTTATCGCTACGGGTACGGGATGGGGGGCCTTCTCAGGGTCGGTCTACCGATTATCGATTCTAATAAAACACCCAATCTTATGAATATGGGTTCTAAATTGCAGAAAACTCATTTTTCTGCAGAGAAAAGTTATGGTTCAAGTAGCTTAATTTACCTCTCGATTTCCTGGTCCTTATGATTTATTTTTTATCCAATATTATGTATTTTGGAACTAGACATGTCCATGATTAAACTCATCTGATTTCCCTTAATTCCGTTGAGTTTTGATTGATGAAAACCATGTCCAAAGTTGAGTTGCAGAGCTGCCAAACAGCAGCAAGTTTTGCATTTCCAGTTTTGGGACTCCATTTTATATCTGGCATGAGTTTCAATTTAGAGCTCAGTTTTCTACAAATCATATATGGTTTTAAACTACACAAAACGAGCTTCAAAACCCATTTAAGTTTATACCATTTGGTTCAGTTTTGAGCGTTCAAAAGTGAGTATAAACTTGGTTGATCAAAGCAGTTGTTAGTGTTACTATATGTTCTTACTTTTCTCTATAAGCTTGTTACGGTTGAAAGCTTATTGCGGTGTAGATTGGGCTGGGTGCAAGGACACTAGAAGGTTCATCTCAGGCGATTGTGTAATGATCGGTGAGTCACCAGCTTCTTGAAGGTTTAAGAAATAAACTACAACATCAAGATCGACAGATGAACAGAGTATAGGGCCATGGCTTTCACATGTTGTGAATTGACTTGGCTGAAATGCGTCCTCGATGACTTGCTAGTTAAGCATCCCAAAGCAACCATATTGTACTTTGATAACGAAGCAGCCCTTTACATTGCATCCAGTCCTGTTTTCCATGAGCGAACAAAGCATATCGAAAGATTGTCATCTAGTTAGAGAAAAGCTGCAAGGAGTGGTTCACATCGCGCATGTGAATAAATAGCAGACTTGTTCACTAAACACTTCGAGTACTTCACAATTTGATCATCTTCTCATCAAGTAAGGTGTCATAAATATACACTCAAGTTGAGGTCTAGTGTTAGAGATAGTAAGGTCAAATACAATGAACTTGGATCGAACATAGCAAGGGTCAAGACAATGAACTTTGATTGCACAACTAATTCAACCAAGTCTTATAAATGAAATATATTAATTTTATATTTGTAGAACTTCTAGCAAGATACATGTATTTGTTGTATTATATAAATGTGTTGTACCTAGTGTTTTCATGATTAAAGAAATACAATTCTTCCAAGTTAAATGTTTGCAAGGCAAGAAATTATGTCATGTTTACTATAAATAAAGGCACAAAGTATGAGGAGTAACACACTAAATTCTTCAAGTCCTTCTCCATCTTTCTCTACTGCACTCTCTCTCTCTCCATTCAGTAAAATAGGCCACAATACATTATCATCATACTCATTACACTGCGTTAAGGAACTAAAGTTTATCCTGCTACAAACCCGTTCACAACATTCATTATCGCAATCCAAGTTCTTGTAAGTTAGGGTGAGTTGACAAGTGATGACCCGTCCCTAATTTTGCGATTTTATTAATTTTAAAATTGTGAAATTACAAAAATACCATTTGAGGCGAGATTGTTGACTTTCGTTGATCGTCATTTCATGACGCATACAAGCTGCTATTTTACCGTATTCTCAAAGCACTCGACGATACAAACGCGTAGACGCAAGCGAAATCAAAATCGGAGTTACGATGGAGGTTTTACGAAACTACGAATCTGAAAAACACTTTTGTAAAAATTACTATTTTATATTTTATATATTTTTCATAATTATTATACTATTATTATTTTAATATTTTCTAATAAGATATTTTAAATATTTTATTAATTTATTTTTTGGCCCGTAGGGTCCACACATCACAAAGTCTCCACTCTCTCTGTCGCGTGTCCCTTTCACTCACTCTTTGGAACTCTCTCCGTCTCTGCCTGGCTCTAACTCTCTCAGCACTCTCCCTCTCTTAGCTCTCTTTCCACTCCCCATCAACACAGACACACATACACCACTGATCACCATACCTCCGGCAACACCACCACCACCAATTCTTTCTCTGCGAGTCCTACGAACACAAAACGAGGAGAAACCCCTCATTTTCCCTCTTTCCCTCGCTGCACAGTACCATCACTGTGCAATATTGAATTCAACGAGTTCTCGCCGTCTTCGGCGAAGGTAAGGTCTAAAACCTTCCTAATAATTCGTAGATCGTGCATAGGAGTACATTTGGGTTGTTTTTGAGACAGTTTGGTGTTGTTTGGACGCAGAAATCTCTTGGGGAAATCTCCCCAATTTTCCAATGAAGGACCCGCAGGCTGCAAGCCATTTCCTGGCCATTTCTGGTCACTACTTGACCCAATATTGGTATGACTCGAATCCTTACTCTCCTAGCTTCATTATGGTATTTAAAATGTGAGTTTTAGTTGAGTTTTTGGAGCTAGTCAGAGCCGTGGTAGTTTCTCGGTCGAAATACCCTGTTCCCAACTATTGCAGCGGCAACCAGGAAAAAAAAAGGGCCCAAACCGGATCCATGGGTCGGCCCAAACCTTGCCCATTAACTCGATCTGGTCCATTTCTGAAATGGACTGGAATATTCCTTGTGTTGACTTTTAAAAAAATTTGCCTGGGACCTATCTTAGTGTATTTCGACACGCTAATTCCGAATCCATCGTTAGTTTCTCCAAATTTAATCGTTTTAGTTAAGTTTACTAACATGTCCCAATATTATGCTTAGGTGCGATTACTATCGGAGACTTTGGCTTTCTTAGTTCAAAAGGCTACGACCTCGCAAGTATTTGTGAGTGAGTCTTTTCTTTTATATAGTGTGTGTGTGTGTGTGTGTGTGTGTGTGTGTGTGTGTATGTTTAGTTTTCATATATACATCTAATAACGAAATTGCTATGTGATGCCGTAATTAAATTAACATTTATAGGAAATGACGTAACAATGCGAATAATCATTATAAATCCTATGGGATGCCTTAATTAAATTTACGGCTATGAATAATATTATGTTGACTAGAATTATCAAATCACTGTGGCATGTTCATATTTACGTTATCTGCTCACTGCACTGGTGTTAGTACTAACCCAGGGCCAGGGCCAAGGCCAGTCTTTCACGTGTATGTTCACATCGCACCGTACGCTCACTTTGGATCCATTGTAGGTGCTAGTCCTATCCTAGATGACTATAGGCAATTAGGACTCTATGTGATGAGCGTAGTTCCAGTCTTCAAGTGATTGTAGTACTAAGACGTAAATCATTATTACGCCTAGTCATGTTCATATCAGAATACCTTTACATGAACTCATGTGTTAGAATGTGTCAATGAGCACTAGATGTGATATATTTATTTATGTGAGATTATGTGATTCCCAGACGTATTCGGAGTCCCGGTGACATTTAGGGTTAGCGTGTGTCATGACAAATTAATGATTTCAAAAAGTTGATATGAAAAGTCGCATAAAATTTTAGTTCATATGCCAAATTGAAAAATATGTATAAGTTCATATGACATTTAACAATTTTTTCCATAAATATAAAAAGAAAGTTGTCACCATTAAAAAAGCGTTTTCATTTATAAGTCCTTGATTAGGTCACAATTTTGAGAAAAACACCTCAATTTCAATGCTTTAGCGAAAATCCATTTTACACTGTAGCACTAAAGGAATTTCACAACTAATAATCTAATTAGAGCATGATAAGTGGATATATAATGCGTTTTTCTCCGATTAAGCTCTTGAAGTGTTTTTTTTTTTTTTTTTTTTTTCAAATAAACTCATAGTTAACTGTTTTTTTATTTGTTAAATATTTTTTTAATACAACGATATAGTTACAGTAAATGGTGAAGGATTGGACTAAACCACGCAATTCTTCATCCATAATAGTTTTGAATCGAACTCCTTATTCATAAAAGATGAATCTGAAAACTCTCACTTATTGATAAAGGCAAATTCTACTATAGTATAATAATAAATAACAAATAAAAAATAGAATAAAAACCTTAAACATGCTAAAGAAGGGGAAAAAATTATTAATTTCAAATTCCACCTTTCTAAGGAAGAAACAAAAATATTATTTTGATTAGGTGGACATATCGTGTATGCAATCTCTATCGTATTGAGTCGAATTAGTCGATGGAGTAGTTGACAAGGGTTTCTTTTTCGTTTTTCCTTATCTTATGATGGCTTTGATGATGATGGAGTGGTTAGTTATGGTTAATGATCATAATTATAATGATGAAGACGCAATAAAAGAAAATTGCAAATATTGAAGAGTGGGTTAGGCAACTTAATTTTATAGTTTTGTCATTCGTAAGCGAGACATTTTAAAAACGAATATTTTAGATAACAAGTTCAATATTAATTTATTCTTTCACTAGTTAATATAAATAGGACAATGTTGTCCACATATTTTGTTTTACCTTACATTCATACTTGTAATTTCTGTTATTTAATCCTCTTTAATTCTTTCGTTTGATGAATAAAAACTATAATGAATGCGAGAAAGATAAAAAGAAGTGTGTGATAACATGGCCCTATAAATATATCATTGCGTTAAAATATTTAATACATATAATGGTGTTGTTGTTGTGAATTGAGATATTCTCTAAACCTTTGTCTAGAGTCGACAAACCAGATCACTCCACATAAAGAGACAGAAATCTAAATCGTTTAAAAACATAGTTTTATGTGAAACGAACCAGTAAAATGAGCTAATAAAAACTGCATAATTTATGTAAAGTGATCCAAATTTCCCTATCCACTCATAAATTGGAGAGGGTCCCAATTGGTTTATTGCGAGGCTGTCTATGTCGCTTCTTGACTATAAGAAAGAGTAGGTAGCTAAGTCGTGACGACGCGTGGTGTAATTTTCCGAGTCAAAGTCTATCTGAGCTGTTTATTTTATTGGTCGTTTGCTTTTGTTATCTGACGGTCACGTGACATACTCGTGGGGTGGCCACGGTTGTCAACACATCCGGACATGTGCCATCCAAGTTTTAGTCCTCTACAATCAACCACATGAATTCTATATGGGCCTGCATCAATTTAGACTTTTCGGGACCCTATTGCCCTTAGATCAAGGAGAAAAACAACCATTGATTTAGTAGAAAATTCAATATTGGAGTCTCGATTTTGGTCCAATTCAAAATTTTAATATTATCACCAATGATAACCATTTTTCAAATATATATACATTCCGGGTTCAAAATCTCCCATCTTCCTATAGTTAGATGAATTCATTTTATGTTATCATTGTTTATCAAGAAAATAAATATCGAGACTTTACTTATGAATGTTATGATTTAAACTCTATCAAGATCTAGAATTACTTATTTATTTATACTAAAATACAACGATCTAGTGCTAAAGTAATAATTTTTTACTTGACATGCACAACTTTAATAAAATAATAAAAACGCATTCGTGACTCGATCTTTTTAATGTGTCTACTGCGATATGATATTTTTCAAATAGATTACATGAAACCAACATCGTTTACATGGTGGTGAATTTCATTGCAAGCGAAACCTAAAATGCAAGCAGCTGACCCGTTTTCGAAATAAATGGCTCACGCATGAAATCTACCACTAGAGCAAATGGTCATGGGTACAAATTTTTAATTCATCTACGTTATAGCTTGTAGTCACGATTAGAAATGATATACTTTTTGTCGACATAGTGATGGTAATCAATTTCGACGTACTAAAACGGTTGGTTCAATAATCATTGTCATTTTTAGATTGATTACCGGACTGAACCCAATCCTGCTCGAAATCAAAGATGGCATTAGGTCATGAAAAAACAACCGTACGATTTTAGTGGGCCATCGGTAACCTCATAAAATTACCAAGCACCTCAATGTAGACAAGCACAAAAGGTTCATCCAATGATTGAATTCTTCGTATATAAGTTAAAGCACAGTCACATGGGGAGGTACAGTGGTCGAGCCATTATCAAATGCGCCGTCCCCCATAGACTGTTCCGTACAACACTCTCACGGTCTCTCTCCGGAGTCTGCCCCCCTAGAACACCAGAAGGACTTGCAGACATTTCGAAGACTTTCGATTCCGTTTGCTTCTTCTTTGGGTCACATTCCGAGCTTTTTATATTGTATTTTATTGTTATTCTCTGCTGCTGCCATCTCTTCTGTCATCCCAACTCTTCCTTTTAGACATGGATGCTCAAGATCTAGTGAGAAGTCACAGCACAGGTTCTTATCTTTCTTTTTTTTCTGAATCTTGATTTTCTTATTTTTCTGGGTTTTTTTGGATTTTGATTTTCTGGGTTGGAAATGTTTTGATGGGTTTTTCTGATTTTATCTTAATTTTCTTGTACTCTCCCTCTCTATGAATCTTTGTTTTGTTTGCTTCTGGGGTTTAAGGGTTTTCTATTTTTATTTGGTGTTTTTGATTATTTCTGTGAATTTATGAATCTTTGTTTTGTTTGCTTCTGGGGTTTAAGGGTTTGCTAATTTTTTGTTTTTTTTGGTGTTTTTGCTTATTTTTGAGAATTTGATAATCTGGGTTGTTGTTTGTTTTTTCCATTCTTTTTGCGTTTTCTGAGTGTTGGTGTTTTTGGTTGTTGATATTGCAGGGCATGAGAGCCATGGAGGAGTCCATGTTTGCAGCAAATGTGGGTGGCCCTTTCCGAACCCACACCCAAGTGCCAGGCACAGGCGTGCTCATAAGAGGATTTGTGGAACCATTGATGGCTACAAGTTGGTTGGCTTACAGGAGAACACCCAGTCAGATGATGAGCACTCCGATGACGACCGCAAAACCCCAAGTGAGCTAATCAAGTTTTCCGCTCTACATAATCTACCCTGTTTGGTGGCTGTAAAAATATTTGGAAAGATTCTAAAATTTTGGAATTTGGGATTTGTTTATGCGTTGAGGCAGGTATTTAGGACTATGCTATCAAGCTGATAGAGAGATCACCTGGATAAATAAGTAAAATATTGTTAGAAACCGGCAGCTAAGTTTGTAAAACAAATGATAAACTATGATTTGATTGCATCTCAAAACAGTAAGAGGGGTTTTGATTTTCTTCAGTTTTTGTTGATAAGCCGATGGGAAATTAGATATATTATTCTTTAATTCCTTTGATAGATCTTAAATCATGGTATTTCTGGTACCAAATTTTCTGTGTAAGGTTCGAAAGTCTTGGAAAGAAGTAACAACGAAAAGGGCAGTGGTCTCATTGGGGGAGAATCTGTCAGATCAGAAGATGCGGTGTTCTCAGATGCAGTTGCAGAATTTTTGGATAATGGATCTGGTGCAGGAACCGGAGAAGGGTTAGAAGATGTTTTGAAATCAGCAACTAGTGTGGAAATGGTTGCCAAGAATGATTTGAATGCCATCCAATCCCCTAATGATAGGGAAATCAACGGTAACGTTTCAATAAACCAGTCCAATTAATCATATTAACTGTTTGATTAGTTAATGTATCTGTTTATGGTCTGAAAACTTGATTTTTTGCAGCTTAATCATTATTTTCTTTATTAAGAGGGCACTCGAAAACAAATTAAATGAATTAGAATAAATAGAACAATTATCTGTTTAATCCATTACATTGAAGTATGACATGATAATTTCCTAATCAGGAAAATAAATCGTTGTAAAGGGGAGGGATGGGTTCTGTAGGGTATTTGAGTGTGCACACCTGCAGTGCGTACAATTGCTTTGCTTTGTCACTTGGTTTTATTTTGTATCCTTCATCAATGTAGGATATAGGTTGTTCAACAGTGATGACACGTCTAGGTTGGAATATGAGTGGATAATTCTTGTGAATTCTGTTGAATAGTGTGAGTAGATTATGGGTCGTATTGTATGCTCATGCCACGGAGACAT